TTAGGACACCTTCAGGACACAGCTATGAATCCAACCCTCATCCAAGCGGGAATCTGTAGGAATGGCAGAGCAACGTGCATGGCCCCACATCGCACAGTCAGGATGCGGCTCCAGCAGCTCCCAAAGTGGCTGCTTTGAACCATGTTAAGTTGCTTTCTGCTCTGTGCGTGGTGGCAGCTTCCAACAGCCAGCCCTCCTATATCTCTGTAAGCTGAGTTCTCAATAAGGCTTCTTCAAAGTCCCCATCAGCAATGGTTAAATCCATGGGGGTTACAGAAAAGCTGGACACTTGTCAGGTCCTCAGTGGCAGATTGCACAGCTTAACAGAGGCAAGAAGAAAACAAAGTGTTACAGCCCTCTAAATTCCCGAAATAAATCCACACCTGCAAATACTAATCCGAACAGCACAGAGGACTGAAAGAGCTCCTGCAGCCCTGACTGCTGGATTTGCACTCAGTGTTGTAGCCGGTGGTTCCTCCTGGCAGCAAAGGATGTAACTAGAAGGCACATGTTTACCTCAAAGAAGAAACTCACCCAGGTCTGTGCCCACAGTTTTCCTCTTATATGTTTAAAAAAAAACTTAGAAAAAAAGAACTAATCAAGTCATTCTAGCTTTCAGTTTGCAAATCATTTTTTAACTTACCTTGCAAAGCCAGTACAGCTAAGGTGAACATACGGCCAAGGCCTTGTGAAGTATTTGGAGAACTGGTTTTACGTGAGCCATTCAGGAAGACTTTGACATGGAGCTGGCACAGTTGTGCCATCTGCTTGCTCATCTCTTCCATGGTTGGCAGCACCTGCTCCTGTTCCACACTTTGGTGTTTCGCAGGCTCATCGTGTGCCACCGTAGTTCGGGAGAGTCCTACTGCTGATTTACACAGGCCAATCCTGCATCTTAAAGACAGACAGACATATGGCACAAAGCATGAGCCAACTGAGTGCTCACTTCCATTGCTGGCCAAGGTCAATATTCTGAGAAAAAGATACTTTAAATGCCCAGATCAAACTAAAGTGAGTCTGAGTTCAAAACACAGCATCCCCAGCTCCCACTGAGCTCACTGGAACTTCACTGCTCAGCTCAATCAGACCAGGAGATCGCACACAGGCAGCAACACAAAAAGTGCTAGGAAGAGAAAACGCCTAAGATCAGTATTTACTGTAGGCAAATATAAATTCTGGTAATAAAGGAGGAGGAAATATAGAAAATAAAAATGTATATAATTAAAAATCACAATTAAAAGGAAACAAAAGAAATAAAAAGCAATGCACATTAGTTAAATACTTAAATTAAAAGTTTCCAATTATTTAATGTATGTTTTTATTTAACTCGAAACTTCTAATTCTGGATCAACCAAAATACTAGGGTTAGTTATCAGGATAGAGCTCTCTTCCTCCCACGCCTGATATAGATCAGCTTCAAAACCATTTTACCTGGAAAAATGTAGGAAACAAACAATACATTTCAGTTGAAGAGATTTATTCTTTTTTTTTTTTTTCAGTTGGGCCACCAATCTGAAAAATCCATTATCCACACAGCTCTACTTCTTTGTCTTACCCTCAAGATTTTTTTTTGCTTTTAAAGGTCAGCATAAGCCTACCACAAGTTCTTTAATGAGAAAATTGCTTTATCCACTTTAAAACACAATCATTTTCTGGGTAATCCAGCCTTGGAAAATGAAACGATTTTTCAGAGAGAAGAAAGCTCTTTTTCAGACTTGGCAGTTTATCTAAAAGAAACAATTTCCTAGGCGAAGACACAAGGGTGGTCTTAGTGTCATGGAAGTTTCTTCAAAAATTAGCTGCTAACTTACCAGTGGGAAAACTTCAGTGAAGGTAATTATTAATTTTAAAAGGAAGCACTTGTGTGGATTTATATTTGTATAAAGTTATCAGATATTAGCATGAGAGAATCTGAAAGTAAGCTTACAGGACAGCAGGTTTTTTTAGTGATATCTAAGTGAGAATAAATCACCACCTGTGTAGCTGGCATCCTACTCTTGTGAGTACAGAAACGGACACTTTTTACCACATAGAAAGCTCGGTAATGGCCTTTTCCTGCTTCTCCAGCTGCTGTTCCCCTCGGGAGCGTTTGTGCGCGCGGACGTCAGCGCGTGGGGCCTGAGCCTGACGGTGCGGGCGCCGAGCGGCGACTTCAACGGCACCCGCGGCCTGTGCGGCACCTTCGACGGCGACGGCCGCACCGACGCGCACGGCGCGGACGGGCGGCCCCTCCGCCGCAGCGCGACCCACGAGGACTTCGTCCAGGCCTGGAGGTACAAACCCCGACGCTTCCAGGCCCGGGAAGAAATGGGGTTTTAGGGAGTGTTTCTCACCCCACCCTGGAAAATCCAGATAATTGACAATAGGGTTTGAAAATGTAGATAATTGACAATAGGGATTAATTAAGGACTTGACATTTCCCTTGTTCTTTTATTCCTGAGCACTAATTACAATATGTGAATATAGATTAAATGTTAAATTTTGACGAAGTGTGGTAATATATGTACCATGCTAAAACTTAATATCTGCTCTACTAATGACAGTAGATCAGAAATGGATGGTCTGTAACCAAAGCCAGGAAGCTGACTTTGTAATGTATCCCTATTCCACATTTAAACTCCTCATACTGATTTCTAAAGATACCTGCAAGGTGACCCCAATACCAAAAAGAGACAATTTGGCCGCACAGGTTTGCTTGTGAAGTATGGTTTGCAGATAATGGAAACAGGATGGTGGTGATGATGGGTTATGTTTATTTGCACAGTTATTGCAAAATCAGCTTGAGTCCTCACACTTTGCCTGTTTGGTGCGGGAAGAACAACTGCATGAAAATTTGACACAGGTGACACAAACTCAAACCTTAGTCTGATGGGTCAATATACACATTAACTTGGCACTTATTCAGCATGCAGAAGCTGTTTGCTTGGTTCAATCCTTCATTAACAAATAAACAACAACAACAAAAAATCGACATATTACATTTTTAAAAAATGAAGAAATGCGTCTACCATATTCTAGTGATGTCCAATGAGCTGAAATGATGGCTATCTCATGCCAGTTTTGACCCGTAGGTAGAAATAGTACAGTTTAGAAGTCAGCAGCCATTTTTAACGTATCTTAATGCACTTGATATTGTGAATAGCAGTCAAATATTGCTTGTCGGAAGAGAAAGGGCAAACTAGTTTAGAGCAAGGACAACCTGCCATGAACAGTGAGGGGCTACCTTGGGACCCTTGGGAGAAGCAAGGTTGAAAAAAAGATCAGGAGCCAAGACAGAACACCTGGGAAGATAATACGAAACTGAGGAATTTTCTAGCACTTGGCACACATGATGGGAATACTTCAGGAAAGGCAGAGGAATCTTCTGCTAAGTGAGAAGGCAGAGGGTGACAAATTTAGCTATGCTGAATCCCTGAGCAAGGACTCTTCAGAAGCCATGCCTGATTCAAAACCTGGCTGGATCAATGGAAAGGCTATAGCTCTCTCCAGAGGAGATTGGATCAGTCTCTAATCCACCCACGGAGAAATGGCACAATAGAAATTAAAACCTGGAGGGTGATTTTTGCTGCTGCTGTTTTTAATTTCATTTTAAATAACATTTAAGGCACACAAGTCTTCAGGACTCTCCAGCACCTGAAGGTAGGCTGTGTGCTCGCCATCTGGCACATCCCTTCCATCCCTGGCTCCCTCCTCTCCCAGGCAGCTGCAGGGCTCAGAATGGCACAGAGCGCTTGCAAACAGCAACTTTCCAAAGCACCTTTAACAATAAAATGATATCAGAACTTCTCAGTCCTCAGCACAGCATCCCAACAGGAATTCTAAAAGACATATCTTAAGTTAGGAAGAGAAATTATGCTTACATTTTGCAGTTACCGTTGTTTTGGATTCACTATAACAGTATTCAACTCTGTTAATCATTAGTGTATGTCATTTTTACTTAAATATTTAATATGTAATATTTAACCAGAGTCTCTAGTGGCCTTTTTCAGCTCCTGTGGCCTTTTGTTTAGATTTACGGTTAGTTTGTGGTGTGACTCCGAGTAGCTGCACATCCAGGTGTCCCGAGCACTCGGAGCGAGCGGGCAGCGCGTGCAGGACGGCTGCGTGGAATCTGAAGTGGCCCTGACTTTTACTGCAAAGGGCAAGAGGTCATTTCAGATCCTCAATCAACAAAATAGGTTTTATTGTCCTACACTGTAGGAAAATTCATGCTAAGTGCATAATAGCTTGTATATTTCTGTGAGCATGAAAGCCTTCCTATCATATCTCACTGCAGTCTGCTGTACCTGCACATCGTGAAGAAGGGTTTCACAAAGGTCTGAGCTCATATTTGAGGAAGAGAAATTGGATCATTTTTGCAACTGTCACTGCAATTTTTTTAAGCTAGTATTGTCTCAATGGTCAAAATAATAACATCAGGTATTTTCAATATATAGTGGAATATTTGAACAAGGTAATTACACTTTTTACAAGAGAATCTAGTATCTGACTTCAAAATGTTTGCAAACGTTTTATTTTTCCTGAATCCTCTACATTCTGGCTGTAGCACAAAAGGAAAAAAAAAAGCCAAACTTTTGGTGATATATCAACTTTGTCTGGAATAAAGCACTGCCAACTCTTGATACAAGAAACGTATCTTCTACAAAGCTCTAGGATTCTTCTTGTGCCATGCAAATAAGATCAATCAGAAATCTTCCACTCATGAGGTTTCCAGAGAAACTTTAATCATGTTTGTTCAAACTAAACTCTCTAGAAGTTTGTCCATTATTAAAGCTTGGTTAAAATAAAAAGGGAAAATACCATATTCCCTTATATGATACCCTAATCCTGTGATCAATAGAAAACTTCATGTGAAAAGAAAAGCTCAAAGAAAGCTCCGTTAGAAGAGCAGAACAAAATAAAGTATGCATAAAAATTTTAAAAAGAATAAAATATGTAAAGGAAAAAAGTACAGTGCTCCAGACCTTAGGGGAAACTCTGTGTAATTAGAGTAAGGGTAAATGGATACAGATGATTCCATAATGAAGTACTTGAAACAAATACACCTCCTTAGTCATTCTCCAGACTGTATCAAGAATAGCCACATCAGGGACAAATCCTAGGTGCTACTTCATGTGCAATACGCAAGGAGTAACCTGCACCTTAAAAAAAGTTTTGTGAAGTGAAGTCACGCGCTTAGGCAGAGGGCCAGCAAAGCACTTAAGCATCTGCTACCAAACGGTCTCAGTGGAGTCCTAAAAAAATACATATGACAACTCAGAAAGGACAGTGCAAAAGTGACTAAAGAAAACAGAGTTTAAACTTATTAGGTACTTGCTAGATTGGGAATGTATGCATTCCCCAGACTCAAGGAAAGAAAGTTTATGTATAAGTAAAGAAAGAAAGGAAAGAAAGTAATGTATACCAATTTGTTGAAAGTTTCTACTTTCTAATCTCTGATTTTAAACCAGAATACCTCCAGGGAAGAGCTTATTTGACAAGACTCCAGCACCTTCTGAAGGGAAGCACAGGAAAAAGTACTGCAGATGTCAGAAGGTGAACACCAAGTCCCTGCACTCGGTAAACACACTGAGCACCTTGCAAAACTCCTTCCCTCAGTCCTTTGGCTGCCATTATGAAAATGTGGATTATACTTCTGCAATCCCATATCTAGATGTTACATCAGAATTTGTCTCTCACCCAGAAATAGAATCCACTTTGGGAAACAGGAAATCGTCGGCCAAACCCTTTCATCGGAGGTACCTGCCGAAATCAGTCAAAAAGCGACGTAGCCCCAAGCACCAATTAAAGCCACTCGCACACATTTCCATGAAACGCCAGGAATACAACAGTTTCATTAACTTTACTAAACCAACAGAAAAACTGCAGAGAGCCAAAAGGCAAGACGACTATTATGAATACTCATCGTTTTATCCATTGCAAAGCCCAAGCCAAACAGACTCGGAGAACTTTGCGTACTTTTTCCCAGAGGACTACTTTGAAGGGAGCCGGACAAAACTTCCATTGGCATGGCCTACTCCTAATGGTCTAACCTATGCTAAAGCTCTGGAGATCTGCCACCAGATCCTCGCAAATTCCACCATTGGTTTAGCATGTAAAGCCGTCCTTGGCAAGCAAATGGATGAGGCAATTGGTATGTGTCTTTCAGATCTGCAACTCAAGGATGATGTGGCCTGGGTGACTGCATTGATAGCCTTTTTGGAAAACGAATGTGAAAGAAGAGTGCTAGGAAACAGAATATTTCATGTAGGAAACCAGCCATCTGCTAGCCAGCAAGAAATCCTCACCATTCTCCGGTGTCCTGCTTTCTGTAATGGCAATGGACAATGTACAGACCTGGGCTGCCGGTGCTTTGAAGACCACAGCTCTTACGACTGTAGTATTGCCAGAAGTAAGTAAAAAATTCTATTTGTTCCTACTTGTCTTTCTAGGTACTGCAGTTATTAGGTAGAACATCTGCACAAAGTTGTTTGCTCTTCGAACAGCAATACCAGTAAGTTATTTGATGAATTAGTAATCAGTTTTTGACCTTGAAGAGCTGATCAAAATATCTGGTTGGATGATCCTCCACTTTTTTGCCTCAATAACTTTTTAAAAATGGATTTTACAAGCCCCTTAGCAAATTGGTTTTGCAGAAGTGATTTTCTTTACATCTGATCTATCACTGGCATGCCAACAAGCAACAAGCTTCTGACAAAAATGAGGGTCTTCCTTACTCACCTTGTGGTCAATATTCATGTCAGCCCTGTACAGACACTCCTTTTTTTCCTGATCAATGGAGAATAACATCTGAAAATGAGTTTCAAACACTATATTTCAAACACTATTAATAAAAAAAAATAGTGACAAAATGAACATGTAACCTGTTTCAGAGACATAAATAGCTATAGGACATATTTGAACATCAGATTTGTGCATTCTACAGACCTGATTCTGCAAACAGTTATGAATGACCTGATGTTTAAACAGGTGGACATCCCGCTAGATTTGTTTCTTCTTTATACTTCAGCCTCCTAATGCAAAAATCCAAGTATGACTATTCATAGTGCTTGGAACTAAGCACGTGTGTAAATGCTAGCACTCATTTAACAAATTATGCCCTGCTTCAGCAAACCCCATAAGCTTATGCTTAAAGTTACCAGAAAGGTACTTAAGACTCAGGTATACAGCTGGGATCCTGCAGCTTAATAAGTGACAGCATTTCAGCTAAGCTGAAGGGACAAGACATCCTCTCATCGCCCATCCCTCTGTGGGGGAAATATGTTTCTGTGACACTTAAGCAAATGGATATTACTTTGTGTTTAGGAAAGGTAAAGCTCATATATTTATGGTCATTCACTACGGCTTAGCTGACACATCAAAATCTCATTAAGCCCCAGGAACCCAGCTGCACATCTGATACTTGCAATGCACTTACTAGTAGAACAGGATTACCCCGGTGCTTCAGAATAAACATGTTTTGGTGGGCTGATTTAAAAGCACACAGCATTTGCTTTTTGTTAATAATAGGCTAAAAATTACAGGATAATTCTATAGATCTGGAAAAATTCTCTAACTCACACAGAGAACAACTGACATCACTGCCTGAAAAGTGCTTTGAGCAATCTTGTAATAATTGTCCAATATAGAATTCAGGGATTTGGGCAGCGGAGCTGCTTAGACCAGATTTTATTTTTTTATTATCCTCAGAAGAGAAGGAAGTAGCCCTGAGTCCTGTCACTGTGTCGTATCCCCTTTATTTTTTCCAGCAGAGAAAGCTGCAGTGGGTGCTCTTTGCTTCAGCAATGTTCTCTTGTGGAAGTCTGCTTATCAGAGTTCCAAATACATGAAATGATTTCCCCCAGCTTTCCAAAGAGCCTCACTAGTGTTGCCTGTGCAACAGGCAACAGGGACTTCTCCTGGCTGGCTCCCCTCACGGCTCCGCTCACTGCTCCTGAGGCCAGACGCGGCCACCGGCAGCACTTAGGAGAGGAGAAATTCCACTCGCGGCTCGCAAGGTTGTTGGTAACTGGACACGAGTTCGTTAGTGCTGCCATAAAATCAATGTTTGCATCTTCAGCGGGGCTCCTAACGAAATGCAAAAGGCCCTTGTCCAAAATTCCTAGGCGCTTGTCTCAAAATTACAAGGCGCTATGTTATTTAAAAAGTGAAAGTCTTGTTCTTTCTATCACACTGTAAATAACTATATTACATCAACCTAAATACTGTCTGCATTCATAATCAGCTATAAACAGCTACTTCACTTTCTACCCATGCCTGTTTAGTCCTTTATAGCAATACAGCTCAGCTACTGCATGTAAAGGGGGCCTTATGTGCTTTATAGACAGCACTTTGCTCATTTTATTCATCCAGCCAAAAGGTACTTAAATGGCTAAAATGCTCCGTGTATGGTGTATACAATGGCTTAAAGGCATCTTTTCAAAGCCCTCTCTGTGTGGTACTGCACATTTCCTAGCTGCAACTAAGAACTTGTATTTCTAACTACTACTTGCAAAACATTTTCTGTGGACATAAGCCGTAAGCGCAAATATTATTTTTTGTTTAAGAAAACCAACAGACCACATTAATAATTACTACCCAAGAGGAGAAGAATGCTCTCTAGATGGCTTCCAGCTAAATGACTAGTAAATAAAAGAAATAAATAAACAACAACAAAGAAGAAATTGCCATTTTGAGACACCAGCACATTTTTCTCTTGAGGACAAGCCCGTGGGCATAACTCTGACACGCAGACACTCCTTCCCAAGGGTGTACCTGACCCAGGGAACATTTAACATTTGTTTTTCCTTTTTTCTGCCATACTAGTGAGATCCCATCAGCAGCGATCAGTCTCCAGAGATGAAACACAAAAATCACTCATGGTACATTTTACCCCATGAGCACTCACTGGCTCTTACAGGTTTGTACAGCAGAGAAAGGTGGGGAAAAAACATCAGAGTGGTGCAACAGGCTCTTAATAAAGTTACTGTAATTAATTCAATTGCTAAAATCTTCTCTGCACCATATAGATTTATTTTTTTTATTATCTATACATCAGCTTTTACATGGCAAAACCCTAACATGCAGCACACACACAGGTACGTTCCCCCCAACCCAAGGAACCCTCTGAACTGCCTTTTGCATGAAAATAAAGGTATTACAGAGAAATCGCTACTTCCCAATCATTCAAAATCAGCACTTAGCAATTCACTGCTTTCCACATCCTTAAAACTTGAAATGGTTGCAAACATTTATTCAAAATATTTCACAATCTGTTGTTCATTAAAATGAAAAACTGTGCTTAAACAAATATAGCTGATACTTAAACAAATATAGCTGAAAAAATGTCTACAGACAAGTGAGAAAAAATCCATCAAAATCCAGAAAAAACTCTCATTTTTTTTTAGAGTTTGCTTGCTAAAGAAAGCATCATTTCAATTTAAAAAAAAACAGAGTTTTGTTTGGCTGGATTCAGTTTGACTTTCCCCCCAAAATGAAAACACAAGAAGTAAAGAGGATCCATTTCCTAACCAAATTTACCTGAAACATCACTGTATTTACAAGATCATAACAATCTGGACAAAACTTTCTGTAATGTGGGTTCCATAAACAGACAACCCTTCAAAGAGTAAACCGTTGCCTCTGCTTTATACTAGGCAGCTAATTGTTGCCTTATGACTCTTTGCCAAGCACGTTCCCAAAACAGTCCTCAAGTCTTCCAGTGATGGATGGGGGGGGGACAATACTTATTTCTGCTAATGTTAGTAATAACAGATTGAAGACTGTAATCATATCAGCCCCTTAAAGAGAAGAATTTCTTTTAGTTTGGGGAAAACAGTATTGAAAATTAACTTCTCAGCATGTTCAGTGGATACTTGCCAAGTTTCAGCAAAGACCAATGATGAAAGCTCTCTCGTCTCTTTTACTAACTTCTGAGTGTTTGATCTTACATCTGAATAACTCTTTTAAGGTTATTCTCAAATGTGTAGCATGCACATGTGTCGGAAAACACCTCTTCACATGAATACCCTCAGAGGACCATAATCATTATTAAAAACAACTGAGGTAGATCTGGGCCTAAATCTGTCCATAGCATCTCATATATTTCTTTGCCCAAGTAATGCTCCTTTTCCCTCAAAAGGCTTTGGGTTATCTTACCACAGACTCAAATTTGGTTCTAAATCCTGATACGAAACATGAAACTTCATAAAGAGGAATTATCAAAAGGAAGTGTCTTTTAGGGTCCATTTCTCCTCCTCTCCCAAACCAACTGGGAACCAATGAATGCTAAGTTGATGAAATATACCTGATTTGCAGAACCTTCTCCTTCAGAATAAGCAAAACACCAACTGTAGAGAAGCTGAGTAAAATCTGCAAAAGCAGCTGGTTTCAGCTTTAGCTGTGGACGGGCAAAAATGTCTCCAGCCCAGAATGAATGCGTGTGATCTGCTATATTGAGCTCCATATATTACAGACCATCAGACCAGGCTGATTTAGAATATTCATTTCCTATCTCTATATTTAGAAATATTGAAGGTGCATACCTATAAAAGAACCTGATCTTGGATTTGCAATGTAAAACAGATCCAAATGTCCACTCCCAGGTCAGAGCCCCTAAAAGGAGGAATAAAATCTTAGTTATGGCACTCCAGTCCCTTGGCCATTGCAATACTTCAGCAAAGGTCAGCTAATTAATGCAGTAGAGTCAAGGAAGACATAGCCACTCCTGTGTGAGCTTCACTGTGAGCTGTTCTTCATTTTGGAATGCTATTCACAGCATTCTGTAAAGATATTTGCTTGATTTTTTTTTTATTTCATAGGCAGAAATATTCCTCGTACATAGATGTAATGTAAAACCGATTTGCAGGGAAAAGCGCTACAGCACCACGAAACAACGATGTGCTTCTTACAGAACAATTCCAAAGACTGGAAGTTCTCAGCACTGAAGTCCTGTTATGTCAATAAAGACAGACTTTCACACTAGAAATTCTCTTAGAGAAACAGAATTAAAAACAATCACAGGAATAAAGCTGTATGTTCACAGGCCAGCTAAGGTAACATTTAAAGTCTGTGGTTAGGAAAAAGTCATTATAGAGGAAAAGTTACATGAGTAATGAAGGAGAAGGAAACTCCTTGTTCTGGCCATATATTTTCCCATTAGCTGCAAAACAAATCTCCATCTCATTTTCTCAGATTGGAACTATATATGTGAATTAAAACTCCCCCAAGATCAAGGAGGCCATCAACATAATTCAAATATCTTCTCCAAGGTCACCCAACCTCAGCTATGCTGCCGATATATAATAATGTATTGTGCCACCGGTTTCAACCAGCACAGAAAAAGAAAGGTGGCCAGGCAGTATTTTTAGGGATGAGAATAAAACCCATAACATATTAGAATAATTTAAAATG